ATCAATGGCCGATCCCCCGCCAGTCTCGATGCGCCGGACGTTGCTGTCACCGCCTCGAGAGGCGACGGCACCTTCACAGGCAGAAGTGACCGAGTACTGTTCGCCATTGGAAAGACGAATGGCCTTGGCAAGTCCGGTCGCGAGTTCTTCGAGGTTCTCGACATTGGGTGGATCCACGTCACAGGAATAAGCGAATGGGAAGAGGATCTGTTGAGAGTACGAGTGCAGATCGATCAGCCCCACGAACTCAGCCTTCTCCTGAGACTGGCTCTTCGCCCATTTTGCAAGTGCAATAGCTTCGGTTGCCTCCCAGGGCTCGGTGCCGCCATAGCTCTCGGAGCAAGGGTCGTTCTCAGAATCCAAACCGCTCCATTCGAAACCGAACGCGTGATCGAGGTCAAATCCACGGCACCACTGCATTCCGGTCTGTTGTCGGGACTTGCGCCAGAGTCGGTCGACTTGCCAGGTGTACTCGATGCCGTCGGGGTTAACCGCAGGAACGAAGACGAAGTCGAAGTGCTCGAGCAGCTTGGTGATCATGGGCTCCTTGCCAAAGGACGTGATGAAGGACCACGCGACGTAATTTGCTGTGGTTGTAGATATCCACTCGCGCGCATGCATGCCTCCCGTGACAACAACCGTTTTCCTCTTGCCGCCAGGAGTTTCAGGTGTTTTGACCCCGACCTTGAGGGCAGGAATGTCGCGACCTTCGAATGACTGCCCGATGCTGATCATCTCAGTAATGGAGGGGAACATGGCTTCCATCAGGCGCATCCACGGCACAATGACCTAGGCTAGGTTAGTTCAATGGTATTGGGAGATAGCTGAAGGCGGTGCCGTCACGTACAGAAAGAGGCTGATACTCTTGGAAGAAGACGTTATCGCCCTCGTGACGGGACAGCTGGACTGATGTCCGGCGGTCATCGAGGCGTTGATTTCGCGGGGGAGCCGCGACGGCCGGATAGGTATCGTAGACAGACGCAGCCAGATCAGGAATCAATGTGGAATATGAGGATCTCAGAGACGAGGGCAGCAGACCCAAAAGGGAGGCAATGTCGGCATTGCGAATGCGGATGTCAACATAGTCGTGGTTAAAAGCCCAAACATCGAGAAACAGGCGCGTGGCAGCCTCGGAGAAGACGGTCTCCTCCTCAGGGATAGTCAAATTGAATCGCAGAACGACCTGATCATTGTATTTGGTCCGAAGGCTGGCTTTCCCTTTGTGCGAAGCGGGACGGGCGGTCGACCTGGCCGGCGCGGGACCGAACACGAATTCAATTGCACCGTCGCGCAGCCAAGTCAGAATTGGGAAGATTCGAGAGGTCGGGGAATTGTGATCGTTATGATGAAGATCGATGCGGGCGGCATTGGCGGAAGGGGTCAGGAGCGTTAGACTAGCAGCCGAGAGCAGTAACACGTGGGGACGCATGTTGGAGGCTCGGCGTGGGTGTTGTCGCTGTCGTCGCCGGCGTCGTCGTTGTCGTTGTCGTTGTCGTCTCGTCCCGTCAGGCAGATAGTGTAGAAACGCTACACATAAGGGGGGGGAGGGGGGGCTTGGATAATGATGAAAGAGGTCACATAGAGGCAAACGGGAGAGATTGCGACAGGTTCTGCAGCATGACACTCGCCCCCCGAGTCGGAGAGCAGGGAAGCAACCTTGCGCAGGCAGCCGCTTACCTGTGCCTTTCTTTTTTTTTTTTTTTTTTTTTTTTTTTGTCCCCCTTCCTGAATCCCGCGTGTTATCGGGACTGTTGGGAGCATATTCCCCACCAAGAACTTACTGAGACGAAAGCGTTGTTGTCCAAGTCATGCAATTTTCTCTCTCCCTTTTTTGTTGCTCTACGTTGCCCCCTTTCTTCAGTTCCATGTACCTAGCAGCCGAAGAAAACACTGACGAGAGGCAAGCGTGGTCAGTGTCTTGGAACAGAGATTAGACGTCGACGCAGAGACCCGAAGGGTATCATGTCGCTTTCAATAGACGGGGTGCTCATTTCACAGAGGCAATCCTGGGTAATTGACACTGGAGATCTGCAGCGATCATGGCGACTTTTGACTGTGTTCACGGCAGACTGGCTGGAGGTATTTGTAGGTAGGGGCAGCACTTTGGTCGGGGGCCGAGACCACGACACTCGAGTCTGTACGCCACAAGCACAACCACGACCACGACCCCTGAGACGGACCATGAATGCCTGCGGATACCAAAGTACTGCGGTACGAAGCACTGCTGGGGTGTCAAAGTCGCGGTCCCGTCTCTTTTGGAGTGGGCTGGGCTGGGCTGAGCTGGGCCGGGCCACCAGTCCTGGTGGCCAGGCTACGGGGTGGTAGACCATGCTGCCATCAATAAAAAGTCCCGGCGTGCATGCCATGCCAGCGGTCCCGGCTCCTGGAGGCTGGGCTGGCTCAGCAGGGGAGGTAAAAGGTATGAAGACCTACCTTACCTTACTTTGAGGTACCTTGCGTCGAGTGTTCGTACCTACACTACTATGTATGGGCTGGAGACGCATGCAAAGTATCCTACTGCGAAGGAACCTAATGGGAGGTCTTGGCGGGGCTGCCCGGGCTGTCTGAGGAACAACACAACGACAATGGGATAATCAATACATCACCGGGCCTGACCCTGCTGCCCGCCCGGCTGCCATGCCGCCCACTGACATCCTGCAGTAGCCCAGCAGCCCAGCAGCCCAGCAGGACGGGAGCCGCCAATGCCAATCCGGTGGCCCTACTGAGGTGGCCTGGAGGTAAGGCACCTCACGATTCCCTTAGTGCAGGCGGGCCACATCAGCCCCGGCGGAAAACCCATCCTTGGTCCTTGCGCTGTGTAGGTAGATGGAAGGAAGATGAAAAAGTATTCGTACTTTACCTCGTACGGGCAAACTGAGTGAGGTTCAGTGCAATTAAGCCCGAGCCAGCACCGGTGCTTACCTTCCTCCCTTCCCACCTTACCTACGAATACCTGACCTCTGGCTCTGGCTCTGGCTCTGGCTCTGGACTCGTCGACAACGCGACACCATCTCCAATCGAATTCCCCTGTTTTTCTCGCTCTATTCGTCCATCACCATCTCTCGTCGTAAGGTGCCTTGCCTTACCTTGCGTGCAACACCGACCCTGCACTCCCATCATACCTAAGGACACATACTAGCCACGAGCATTTCCCTTCTTCCCTTTCCTTCCCTGGACGCTGTCCGTTTCTCCCCACCTCACTTTCCCATCCATCCTCTCGCCCTCCCTTATTCGATCCCCTGCAACCGCACCGCATTACGTTGCCCCGTACCCAACCGGAGGATGCCCTGGCGTCCTGTCTTCTGCGTTGCACTGCGGCTGGCTTAATACCCTTTCCCTACCTTCCTTACCGGACCTACCTTGCCTCAACTCACCGTCAAGTACCTACCTACCTACCTACCTACCTTATCTTACTTGCCTGCCTTACCGACTACCTAACTTGGACCTCACCTCATCTCGCTGACTGCCCGCCAACTTCTTTTCCCCTTCCTCAATTGCTCTCTCTTTCCCGCCATCACCATCACGACCCTGACTTCCAATGTGGCCTGCCTCCCTGTTCCGCTGCCCGCTGTGTTGATGGCCTAGTGCCCGGATCCAACGGCTTCCCTTCTCCTGGCTGCCGTCGTCATCCTCCCACTCTGACGTTGTATCCCTGGCAAACAATGACCCATCGCCGTCATGCCTTTTCTACGCCGTCGCGGCAACATGGTCAGCGAGACCGATATGAGGCGCCATACCATTCTTGATGCCGATGCGCCTCAGCTCCCGCCGCTCCCGCAACACTTTCCACCCCAACAGCCTCAGCAACAGCAGCAGCCTCAGCAAGAGCAACAGCCTCAACAACCGCCGCTACCCTTGCCGCAACACCCACCACAAGAAGTCCCCCGAGTCTCCGTGTCTGCCTCCATAAGCGAAACCCCTTCCACCTCCCTGACTGTGCCCGCGCAAACCGACGGTGACATCGATACCTCGACACGGCTCGATCCTGACGACGCAGACGCTAGACCAGATACTCCTCCAATCCAGGATGAGACGCCTAAGCATCGTCGCTTTTCAATCCTGAGGTTCCGCAATGCCTCCGACTCCCAGCTGTCATTAAGGGCCAAGCAGCAGGCTGAAAAGCCTCCCCCTGTCCCTCGGCGTGTGTCTCCTCCAGTCCCTTTGCGGCACCAAAGCGCGCCTGGCCCTGTTCATTGTGCTAACCATCCGCGCCAGCCCCTGAGATTATCACGACCGCACCTACAGTCGATTTCCAAGTACCACAGAAGAAGCAGTCTCGAATGCGACTAGCCGACCGATTTCGAAGATCTGGTGAGCTGCCCAGAAATAGCGAGGATGGGGCCAACCGAGCCATGACGTGGAAGTCATCTAGGAGGAAAACGGGCCTGGAAGACCTCGCTTCTAGAAATCGGCCTACTCTTGTTACTTTCGAGGAACCCAACCGCCCGTCTTCGTCCAGGGCGCCCACCAACGGAGACCATCACGATGGCATCGCCTTGTCACTCCCCCCCAATCGAGCTTCCGAATCATCGCGATCCGATGCGAGCTTCGGGGAACAACTACACCCCACAACTACCGCAGGCACTGCAGGCACCGCAGCTAACTCTCCTCCAGTGCCGTCAAGCACTAGCTTCTTTCGCCTGGGTCGCAGGAAACCCAAAACACCATCATCCATGTTCGACTTATCACATCTGCCTCAGAAAGGCAAGCCCGCCGCCAACGGCGCAGACAATAATGGGACATCCTCGTCCTCATTAGGCGCAGCTCACCCACCCATCGCGTCAACATCCAGAGAGGGCACTCCGCGACCCCATCATGGCTCGAGGCCCCCATCAAGCTACAGTACACACGCCGACTCCGTGTCGTCCTCTGCCCCTGATCAGCAGCCACTCAAGACGAACCCCTCACCGGCAACTGCACTATTTCGTCCCGGCTCGACTCACTCCGGCCAGTCGTCACCGACCCGAGCCCGGTTGCAACGCCGAGGGAGATCTTCGACCATGAGCTCTTTAGGCAGAGATTCGTTGGAAGGGCATCTCGATCCAGGAGCAAGTCGAACATCCACGTCGATCGGGCGCAAGAGCTTTGGCGATCTCTTTGGCCTGAACAGACTGCGACAAAACTCTGATCTGGGCCAGAGAGCGGGCACGCTGACACCTGCAACCCCTGGCTCCAACACATCCAAGAACAATTCACTCCAGATTGCGCGGGAGCCGATTGCATTGCCTGAGAAGCTCGAGGACGAAACGCCCGCCAAGTATTTGGCCAGGATAGAAGAGATTCTCAGCAGAGGAGTAATTGCGAGTGCGTTGTCCAAGGGAAGTGATCCTTTCGCAGCAGCCGTGTTGCGCAGTTACATGCGCCGGTTTAGTTTCTTTGGTGACCCGATGGACATGGCAATCCGGAAACTACTTATGGAAGCCGAGCTGCCCAAAGAGACGCAGCAGATCGACAGGTGTTTGCAGGCGTTTGCGAATCGCTATCACGAATGCAATCCGGGCATTTATGCCTCCCCTGACCAGGCCTACTTCGTGGCGTTTTCGCTTCTCATTCTGCATACGGATGTGTTCAACAAGAATAACAAGCACAAGATGCAGCAACCTGACTATTTGAAGAATACCCAAGGCGAGGGTGTTTCGGACCCGATCCTTCGATGCTTTTACGACAACATCACTTACACCCCCTTTATACACGTTGAGGACGACGTGGACCTCAATGGTGATCGACTTATAGCGAACAGAGCCAAGAGGAAAACCCTTTTTCCTGGAGGCACGCCGGAAGCGGCCGCGAAGCGGTCTAACCGTGAACCCCTTGATCCGTATACGCTGATCATAGACGGCAAGCTGGATATACTGAGGCCGAGTCTGAAAGATGTGATGGAGCTCGAGGACCACTATGACTATTTGGGAACGGCAAAAGACCTCAACGTAAAGGAGCTTCAGCGGACATTCTTCAGAACTGGTGTTTTGCAAATTGTGTCGGCCAGGTCACGGCCAGATGCCTTTCGCGACGAAAAGAGCGCTATCAACCCTGCCGAAGCGGCGCAGGGCGTGGTCGATATCAAAATCACAAAGGTCGGTCTTTTGTGGCGGAAGGATGTCAAGAAGAAGAAAACCAGATCACCCTGGCAGGAATGGGGAGCCATTCTTACGGGCGCCCAGCTTTATTTCTTCCGCAACACCACATGGATCAAGAACTTGATGCACCAATACGAATCGCACGTTAAACAAGGCTTTTACGGCGAACCAATCACGTTTAAACCGCCATTACCGGAGTTCAAGCCTGATGGATATCTCCCGACGAAGGAAGCTGTTGCGCTCGTAGACTCCACGTATAAGAAGCACAAGAACGCTTTCAAATACTCTCGGCCTGGGGCCTTCGTCGAGGAGGTTCTTCTTGCTGACAATGAAGAGGAGATGAACGACTGGCTCGCCAAATTGAATTACGCTGCCGCCTTCACTACGTCTGGCGTCCGCATGCGAGGCGTCGTGGGCGGCAATTACGAGGGACAAAGTCGACGGGGGATCAGGAGACTTGGAAGTTCGGCCTCCGCGCAGGTTATTCAGACTCCCACCGGCGAGGTCAGCATCGTTCGTGGTAAAATTGATCACCAGGAGGCCGAGTCCATTCAGGCTCAACGACGGCAGACCATGATGGACGCTGTTGCTAAAGCAGATGAAGAAATCGCCATCAAGGAGCAAGAGCTGGAGATCCATCTGAGGAACGCTCGCCATCTCCAGATTCTCTCACCCATCCAAGCCAAGACGAGGGATCAGGTTCTTTCGGCTGCTGCTCACATGGATGTTAAAATCAAGTGGATTCGTATGGACATGTGGAAATCCAGGTGTCATCGAGATGTCCTTTTGAAGGATATGTCCGAAGAGCAGCGACTCCAAGGTCTGGTGCCGACCAAATCTCAAAATGGCCATGAGATCCGCGAAGCGTCACCATCCCGAGAAAGACCACCCATGCTCGAGGCAGGATCAGTGACAAGTGTGGGACGCCGCCGCCGGAGGTCATCGGCAGCCATCTCCGTGGTTCAAGGGCCTGCGAGGATGGCGCAAGGGGAGCCAGAATCGCCAACAAATGATGCTTACCAGACACCGCCTACAAGTGCGACCTTCAACCCCCACAAACACCAGAACTCATGGGACTCCAAGGTCTCCAAATCCCAAGAGCCAGTCTACCGCAAACGACCCTGCTCCAGTTCTAGTCAATCCTCTGGTGACCCGACGTTCTACAGCCCGCAGCAGCATCCGACTCCTAGAAGAGGGAAGGACGAAGAAACGAGTGTGGCTGAGGAACATCATGATGACGTGGATGCGAACGAACGTGTCCTCCTTGAGCAGGCAGGCTTGCTAGGATCAGAATCTCGTGGCAATCCGCCTGAAAGAAAGCGAACCGGGTCACTCTCTGAAGCTGGAGATGCTTCCGAGTCGCGTGATACCCCGGGGTCCATCGACAAGCAAGACAGGACAAAGATCCGACGAAGCCTGCAACGCACCCTCAGGGAGAGCGCTGGCCATCTTTCGCACCATCGTAGCAGAAAGGGAAAAGAGGTCATCACCGGAAGCGCTTTAGAAGACGCTGGTCGCGAAGACGTGCTTACTAGAGGCACTGGAAGCTTCGTGGTACACGGCAAGAAGGCGTCCGTCATCAATTTCGGTTCCGAACTGCAACAACTGACTCCCGAGGAGCGTCTGAGGCAGCGAAAGCCGGGTCAGCGCGATGAGCCTGCTTCTCCCGCAAGCGTCGAGGAAGATTTCCGCGACACGCTTAATGAATCGTTACTTCCCAAGGAGCGCAGAGAGTCGGGCGCAAGCGCTAGCACAGCAACGGCAAGAAGCTTTCGTGAACTTCACCGAAAGTATTCTTCTGCGCACGCTTCTCGGTCGCCGGCCTTCAGAGGTCAACTTTCAGTGCCGTCTGATGGTGAGAGTGAAGCCGCAGTCAGCTTTTCCGAAGGACGCAGGACGCCGCTGCCCCCAATTGAAAACGAGTCTGGAGACGAGGAAGAAAGTGACGCCGTCGTAGCGAGTTCGGGCGTGACAAGCCCTACTGTGGCAAGTCCGCAGCCAATCCGTGCAGCGTTCTTATCACCCCTCGAGCCGGTGACGCCTCAAGGACAGGAGAAAGGCGAAGAAGAAAAGAGCGACGAGATGCAGCGACTACCTAGTCCTCCGATCCAGGCGGTCAAGGCCTAGTCATCGAAATCGCTGCCTGCCCTGGGGACGACACTCCCACTTCGGCCGAGTTCATCTAGAAATGCGTGTTGAGCCGTCACGCCGAACCAGGCAGCTCGCTTGATGGCCCTGATACGTTAGAGAGCGTCGACAGGGTGACGGATGTTTGATCCGTTGGTCTGAAGCGATAGAGGTGAAGAAACCCTCACTAAATCAGGCGCTGGTGGGTATGCACCCATAGCGTCATTCTTTGTTTTTCTTGACAACAAAAAGGAGGTGTTTGTAGTCAATCTAATGGCAGATGTGTTACATATGTGTGGGCTCATGGCTAAGCGGGAATGGACACTGGACTTTGGGCATAGCATTGTGAGGCGACTGGGGTCAACAAAAAGGACGGCCGACATGGCTGTGGTGTAGAGTAGAGCACAGCGGTCGAAAGTCTCACAGAAAGACCTGTTGCACAGCGAATTCAATCTTTTCTCCTTCTTCTCCTTACTCATAGGTCGGTTTGTTTGGATACGGGCAGTTGCGTAGACTGCGTTGTAATCTAGCGCGCGAGTCCTCGATCTCACACCTGCGTCCTCCGAGCCGTTCATTTCTTACCCTTCTTCTTCTTCTTGTTTGACGACGTTGGCGCCTTTTCGACCTTGACAGATCCGGCGCCACCTGCAAGCTCCAGCGTCTCAACTTCCTTTGCCAAACCACCTTGCGTGGACTCGTTTGCCTTCTTCTTGCCCTTCTTGCCCCTGGGCCGGTAGGAAGAGCGGTCGCGGAGAGGCAGCCATCGCTCGGGGTCCATTTTCCTCCCCTCCTCATAGTTCTTTGGCAGCTTTCTTCTGCGCTTCTTTCTGGCACTTGCTTCAGTTGGCTGGGTTTCCATTGTTCGCTTCGTAGCCTGGTTAGCTGGCGTCGCGAGTGTAGCGATGCCTTCGCCGGCCAACTGGCCAGCGTCGACGCCTTGAATGAGACTCTCAATGGGAGGGAGGTCCGTCAGGTATGGCTTGGCCCTGGATGCGTTTGATGTGGCGAACGATGCCACCAGTCCTGCGGCTGCAACATGGTCCGCATCGGTGCCGGGCTTCGCGCAAAGTTTCTCGAAAGCAGCACCTGCGGCAGCGAGATCAACAGGATCAGACGACTTGAGCAACTCGGAGCCGGCACCGCGGAGCAGCGAGTCGGCGTGGCGACCATTCCGCTTCTCCCAAAACGAGGAGGCCTTGGCCAACTCTGTGCGTATACCGGTTTGGCGTCCTTGCTGTTTGTAAAGGGAGACCACCAGAGCGACCAGACCAGGGGAGAATCGAACATCCTGCGTTCCCTGATTTTCCAGATTGCGCAGGAACGTCTCGAGAATAGACAGTGCCGCACCGGTGTTGTTCGCGGCGAGATAGAGCTGGATAATAGTGAGAATTAATCCGACGTCCGTGGGGCGTTTCTCAAGCAGAGGAATGACGTGCTTAACGTCTACGTTCTTGGATGGACGTAGAGCATGGGCCGCAGCGTTGATGGCAGAGAGGACGTTTGTGTTGGCGGAGACGGTAGGCGTAGCCTCGGCCAAGGTTCTAGAAGTGCCCCGGTAGACGCCGGCCAGCTTCTGCGTCTGGACGCCCAAAACATACTGGTTTTGCTTCAGTGGGCTCTCTTGGTACTTGAAAAGCTTGGTCTGCTTTCTCAGAGCAGATGCCAGCTCGCCTTCACGCTGTGCGAGGTAAGGATTCTCGACTCCGGTCGCGAGAGCCGACCTGTTATTCTGGTTAATCAGCTTGGACTCGGCGTCCCAACTACTGCGCAGATGTTAGCGAGGTCGAGACCTGAACAGTTGAGCGAAACTTACTCCGAAACGGACAGGCGGTTCTGAACGTCAAGTGCCTCCCCAAGCTTGCCTAACCTGGAATATACGTAGACCTGCTGGACCATGATTGGTACCATCTCGGCTTGTTTATCGTCCTCGGAAAGATCCTCAGAATCGTCACACAAGCGCAGCGAGCGCTGGAGTAGCGTCGATGCTTTGGACAACTCTCCGCGAGCAATGCAGCCGCAGGCGCTGTTATATGCGAGCTCAAAGGTATCGATATCTGCCGCGAGGGGGGTCGGCGCGACCTCGTCACTCAAGTCGTCCACGACTTTCCACTCCAATTGAGCAGCGGAGGCCAGGTAGTTGATGTTGAGGTCGTTCTCCTCGTCCTGAGGATCATCGAGCAGACCTTTGTAGAGATCGAGTGCGTCTTTGAAGTCCTCGGCGCGGTAAGCAACTTGGGCAGCAACGTGTCGAAAACTGCGCTGCGGTCTCGAGTTTGCGATCTCGCGGGCCGCCTGAAGTTGTCCGGTCTTGTACAGGGCGTAAGCCTTCTCGAGCAAACACGCATCCTGGGGCTTGTCACCACCATCGGCTATGGCGCGAAGGGCGTCGTCGAAGCGATCGAGTTTGAGCAGGGCGACGACGCGGGTGCGGTGGGTAGTGAGGTCGGTCTTGGACTCCTTTATCGAAGCGTTTGCAGCTTTGAGGACCTCTTCATGGTCTTGTATGGAGGCTGCACGCAGCAAGGCGCTGAGGTTGGCGGCGGGGTCTGAAGGAGCCATCGTGAGGGGTGGGACGTGTGGTTTTGCTTCAGTTGAGCCGATCCGGCATGTTCGATCGATTTGAGGAGATCTCAAGCAAAGAATCGGCTTGGACTCGCGCCTTGCGACAAGAGGAGGTGAGCAGCAAAGATGATGAAGGGACCGTAGGTACCTCTGGGGGTGGTTTCGGCGTCGCGGTTGTCGCTGGCGTCTCAATCAGACATCAGAGAGGAAAGCCACGGTGCGGTGCAGCTCAGGATTGAATTGTGGAAAGGTAGTGGGGCAGAGTCTGTGACGTCCAACGGAGACTCGAGGCTTGTAATGCTTGTAGTCTTCCACGGAAGCTCGGCGTATAGGTACATAACGGGTTTAGACAGGTACCTACCATACTACGAGTTCGTTTTGCGATACCCTTACGCTGGTGGCGTAACAACCTACCCACAATCTCAATTTTTGAAGTCCTCGATACTCCATCAGTCAGTTACCGCACCGCAACATGGACTTTTCGTGGCGTCATCTGAATCCATCATAAGCCATGCATTCCGCATAATTCGTAAAACCGCATTTCGCCCTCACAACGCACGTTTCCCCGGGCCTTTTCCTTCGCCATATTCTTTAACCGACCCCAAGCCATGCCACTTCGTCCGTTCTCATAGTGAACTAGCCAACGGCTGATATTTCATCCCCTTCCAAATAATCCCCACAACCTCTTTCGTTTGGTCTCGGGATGGTACGGCCTCAGGGGATACGTTGGCGGCATGCTGTACACGTCTGAGTCGGCCGAGTTGTCTGACTGCTTTCGATGTAGCTTCCTAGGGCGAACCTCACCCAATTTCGTGCTTCCCGACGACATGGTGGCCATTGAGACGCGCCTGTCCGGGCTGTTCTGAGGAACAACAAATGTGCTCGCAATTAGAGCAGGCATCGGTTCTCGCACCTCAAGCTCCTCCGGTCGGTTGAATTTGCCCTTGGTAGACCTCCCATGCTTCGGTCTCACCTCTTTTTTTGGTGGGATAATTGTTGTGTGGCGCTTGCTCTTCTTGCTCGACTTGGACTTGAGGGATGTACTGCTGAGCCGTCGTGAAAGATCGTTGATGGTTCTAACGGCATCCAAGCGCGACGAGTTGGACAACGACCTCAACGACCGGTAGTCGATGGCTGGGCTCTGGGTTCTTGTCATAACACGCAGCAGGCGCGTCATGGCCGAAGTTAGGCGTTTGATGATCCTCTTGAGTGAAGAGCGGGCCGCGGCTGAGGAAGATATCGGTAAGTATGTGAGAGGTGTGCAGAGCCGGCGCATGCGTACCATCTCCTTTCTCCAGGTGGCTTCCATTGAGGGAGAGACGCGATGAGTAGACTCGCCGCACCTCGGATTGGTCAGAACGCACGCATCTTCGGAGTTGTCGTGGTTGACTGTTTCGCTCTGATCCTTTCAGGCCCCCCAGAAGCGACAAGCACTTGGAGTACGTCTCCAGTAGGGCGTCAACTTTGTCACCGAATCCGCCCATTGATCCAGAAAGCAGAGCCTCAATAGAACAAGAATGTGTGGTGAGCGTGCGCATCTCCGACCGTTGGCCTTCCCCATCCCCGGCCTTACATACAAAGCCGGGTCAGCCTAGCTAAGGAGTCATCACAGTACTGGTGGTGCGACCAATCCAACGTCCTGCGAGGACGGGGAACGGCAACGGGGGCAGCTGCACCATCTGGTTGGCTGAGTAACCGCCGCAATAATCCATCCTGACCATGCAGGCCTTCGCCGGCAATCTATTCGTGATTGACGAGTCGTCTAGGCTGTTGATGGGTTCTTCCGACAATAAAGATTAATCGCAACCATGTCTCGATGCTTGTCGTAGGTATGCAAGCAAGCAAGCCACAACTCCAGTGATCATGGCCGGCGATGCCCGTCTTGCTGCGGCTCAAAGTCGGCCAGACCTCAGGACTTAGAGGCCTCGATCAGCGGTGAGTTGAGTCAAGTGCAGACATCTATTCTTTCTAGATGATAAGGCAGGCCGGGCCATTTTGCCAGAGATGGACACTGCATTCGTGCTCTGAAGAGTCCGATGCCAGGTCTGTACAGGGATGTTGTTAAAGCAGTCGAATCAGGCCAGGTTGCGATGTCAATTCGCCCGCGACCGCGCCCGCGCCAAGAGTTGAAGCGTCGGGATCGGATGGCGTTCCCGCAGGGGACAGGATCGCAATCTTGGGCACCGGTCCAATGGACCACCATGAAACGCTCACCGAGTGTTGCCTCATGGCAAGAAGAGAGTTTTGGACAGCAGCGATATCATTGTATCTGGAGGTGTGTACTCGTGGAGATATCAATGAAAGATGTGACGCAGGGCAACGTCGCAATAGGCGTGTCTGATTGCCCCATCGTCTGCATGGCCCTTTGGTTGGGCTAACGAGCAGTCGGCGGAGGGGGTGTTTCTCCTCTGTGTTTTGCGGCCGGCCGATGGCGTGGG